TTTAAGGGTTGTTTATACATTATTTAAACAAAATCTATCATAGAAATAAAAATGTTCACTGTATTACGAAAGTTACTACCCCCGCACTCTAAGTATGCTGTAAGTTATAGTTTGAATTACTTAAAATATTTGGCAAGCTTAAAGCATACGGAAATTTATTATTAAGGGCAGTTTAAGGGTTGTTTATACATTATTTAAACATAATCTATCAGCGAAATAAAAATGTTCACTGTATTACGAAAGTTACACCCCTGCATCTAAGTATGCTATAAGTTATAGTTTGAATTACTTAAAATATTTGGCAAGCTTAAAGCATACGGAAATTTATTATTCAAGGGCAAGTTTAAGGGTTGTTTTTACATTATTTAAACATAATCTATCAGCGAAATGAAAATGTCCACTGTATTACGAAAGTTACTACCCCCGCACTCTAAGTATGCTGTAAGTTATAGTTTGAATTACTTAAAATACCTGGCAAGGTTAAATCATACGGAAATTTATTATTCAAGGGCAGTTTAAGGGTTGTTTATACATTATTTAAACATAATCTATCAGCGAAATAAAAATGTTCACTGTATTACGAAAGTTACTACCCCCGCAGTCTAAGTATGCTGTAAGTTATAGTTTGAATTACTTAAAATATTTGGCAAGCTTAAAGCATTCGGAAATTTATTATTCAAGGGCAGTTTAAGGGTTGTTTATACATTATTTAAACATAATCTATCAACGAAATAAAAATGTTCACTGTATTACGAAAGTTACAACCCCCGCATTCTAAGTATCTATAAGTTATAGTTTGAACTACTTAAAATATTTGGCAACTTAAAGCATACGGAAATTTATTATTCAAGGGCAGTTTAAGGGTTGTTTATACATTATTTAAACATAATCTATCAACGAAATAAAAATGTTCACTGTATTACGAAAGTTACAACCCCCGCACTCTAAGTATGCTGTAAGTTATAGTTTGAATTACTTAAAATATTTGGCAAGCTTAAAGCATACGGAAATTTATTATTCAAGGGCAGTTTAAGGGTTGTTTATACATTATTTAAACATAATCTATCAACGAAATAAAAATGTTCACTGTATTACGAAAGTTACAACCCCCGCACTTCTAAGTATGCTGTAAGTTATAGTTTGAATTACTTAAAATACCTGGCAAGGTTAAATCATACGGAAATTTATTATTCAAGGGCAGTTTAAGGGTTGTTTATACATTATTTAAACATAATCTATCAGCGAAATAAAAATGTTCACTGTATTACGAAAGTTACTACCCCCGCACTCTAAGTATGCTGTAAGTTATAGTTTGAATTACTTAAAATATTTGGCAAGCTTAAAGCATTCGGAAATTTATTATTCAGGGGCAGTTTAAGGGTTGTTTTTACATTATTTAAACATAATTTATCAGCGAAATGAAAATGTCCACTGTATTACGAAAGTTACCCCCCCCCCCCGCACTCTAAGTATGCTGTAAGTTATAGCACAGACAAAATACTAATCTGTGGTTATAGCTTGAATTACTTAAAATATTTGGCAAGTTTAAAGCATACGGAAATTTATTATTCAAGGGCAGTTTAAGGGTTGTTTATACATTATTTAAACAAAATCTATCATAGAAATAAAAATGTTCACTGTATTACGAAAGTTACTACCCCCGCACTCTAAGTATGCTGTAAGTTTTAGTTTGAATTACTTAAAATACTTGGCAAGCTTAAAGCTTACGGAAATTTATTATTCAAGGGTAGTTTAAGGGTTGTTTATACATTATTTAAACATAATCTACCATAGAAATAAAAATGTTCCCTGTAACCATTATCTGGGAGTTCTTGTTGGCTGTAAATATGGAACTAGTCAAGTAATTGTGACGTGTTTGATTGTTGCTATATGTGTGTGTGAGAGGATCCTTTGGAAACTGTAGGTGTCGGCTGAATTGTTCAATAGCTACGGTCCGGCTCCTAGTATATTCAACAGCGGATTAGGAAGCCTTATGCTCATGCCAGAATGCGATTCAGTTTTAATTATCATTGAAATTCGTAAACAGTAAAAACATAATTTGCCAAATTACGATACCAACATTTAAGCATTTTTCTAGTGCTTCGCCATCAGCTGGTACCTCGCTATGGATATGCAGCTGTACGTACTGTCGCCGATACTGATTGCCGCTATGCTGAAATCTCCAAGATTATCTGCAATCCTAATAAGTTTCTCCGTATTATTCTGCATGGTAGCAAGTTTTGTAGTCACCTGGAAATGGGAATTTCAGGTATTAAGGTACGCCATACACAAAAATCACTGTTTACATAAAATTTACTAATTCCAGCAAAGAGTATATCGCACACTATTACTACCTTACGCACTTAAAGGCTGCTCCGTGGTTAATTGGTTTTATAATGGGTTACGTCTTTTCGACAGGTTTAGATGGAAAAGGGAAAGTTTTGAGTAAAGTAAGTGTCGATCTGTCAGCAACATTATCTACACCTTGGCCATTTTTAGAGAACTATTGTTCTATGCTGGTCAGCGTGGTTCTTCGCAATCGTGGTTCAAATGGTTGCTATGATTTACGTATGGGGCACACCGGGTATCTACTTTGAAAACACCTTGAGAAAACTTGCATGGGTTTATGCACTGTCGTGGATTGCATTTTGTTGCCATTTCGGATATGGAGGTAAAAGTGTCTTTTGAGTATCCTATGAATTGCGTATTGCCATAAACACGATTGTACGTAATACGAACAAATTGTCAACCCTTACCATTGTAGGACCTCTCAACACATTCCTGTCTTTGCCGATATTTCAAATTCTCTCAAAGCTGACATACAGTAGCTACTTGGTGCACGGTCTCCTAATACTCACGCTAAAGGGAAACATGCATTCGCCAGTACATGCCACTCATTTTGAAATGGTATGCATCTGACAAAGTGGCGCAACTATTTTGAGAAGTTATTTTTCAGATTGTGCAAACATGCGGATTTTGGGTTCTAACACAGTTCGCCGCTCTTCTATTCAACTTAACGATTGAGTCACCGATGATACTATTGACAACATTAGTGAAGCGGAAGCAAGAATAAAAAAGAGACATTCGTCTATTTCTTTGGTGGTGGGAATTTTGCAGTGCGGCTCTATTGGGCTGTTGTAATAAAGTTCATTTAATTTTATTGTTAATTTTTTATATTCCACATTTGTCATTACAAAGAGTCAGCTACAACCTCTTTGAGCTAGTTGTAACATTAATTTGTAGGAGGGAAAGGCATTAAATAAGCTACAACCTGCTGAGAAAAAGCAGTAGAGTGCTATTTTTCGTACGTGACGAAACAAGTTTACCCCAAATTTGTAAATTTAGAACGTTTAATAAGAAACAGAAAAGAGAAATAGAGATAATATAGTTTTGAGATAGGAGTAAGTGCGTTTTTTTTAGAATGTGGTAGGATTCTTCATTTTTCCTTCCAGGAAAGGGACGGAGGACGTGCAGCACCAGATCGAACCGCTGTTATGGGATTATTCAAAGGACATAAATTTTAATAAAGTAATTTTGTGAACATTTCCTTTGGGATATTTGAACATTACTGGCCATTGCAGGGCTTGAATATTACAGAGCACTTAACTCCTGCCTTTCTACAGCTACAATGTCTGCTGCACCCTTTCTTATAGCTGTTTGTGGTATTTACTGGAATTAGACCCTGACTGGTACGCATCCACCTCAAATCCACAAGATCCTTTGACATTCCAATGCACGTTTGAACTTGATGGTGCAAATAAAATCCTTATAGAGAAGTCTCGTATCAGCATTCAGCATATCATATTTCATTGAAAAAATGAGTCACGTGAATCTTGTTGACCGTTTGTAAAGTTCCTCGTTAAAGATAGAGAAAACTATCCTTGAAAAAGTGACCTTTAAGTATACGGTACTCACGGCACATCTAATATCTACAATTTCATTGGGGTGGCTGTCTAATGAACGAATGTTTAAAACTCCAATACTCGCAAAAGAAACCGGATTGTCAGAAAGTGCCATATTCAAAGCTAGGCACAAAGATTTTGGAAGTGATTCTCCAACTCTTGATGCCAGAGCAGAATCTGGCGAAGAAAGACACATTTGTCAGGCTCATTTGGATGGTAATTCCTTTTCTTGGGCCACAGGCGACGAAATATGAGTATTTGACTGGGGCTTCCCAGCTCGAAAGAAAATTCAAAGGGCTAGTAGCCCAATCTTGGAACTGTTTGAAATTATGAACTCTACAGGCCACATTCCTTTTTTACCAAAAAACGACTGCACCAAAATTTCTCGGGAAAACACTTTTTCTTATTAATGTTGGTGCGTAGAATCCAAAACAATTCGTACTTTTTCGATCAGACTTCTCAATAAAAAGTTATAGACTAGAAATAAAGAAACCAATTTCGAAAGAAAATTCAAAGGGCTGTAACTTTTGAACTAGTAGCCCAATCTAGGAACTGTTTGAAGTTATGGATTCTACAGGCCACATTCTATAAGAAAAATTCTTTTCCGGGTCGATCTGAGACAATTTTCTTTGAGGGCTTCAAAAAAAGGCAGTGTATCCTTTTTTACCAAAAATCGACTGCACCAAAATTTCTCGGGAAAACACTTTTTCTTATTAATTTTGGTGCGTAGAATCCAAAACAATTCGTACTTTTTCGATCAGACTTCTCAATAAAAGGTTATAGACTAGGTGTGTCCATAACGGCTCTTCTCCTCCCCCATTTTCCAGTTTTTGTCTGTTCTTTGCTCTTCTTGGTCCTCCATCTTCAATAACTCACCGAAGGTTAGCACTTTTTCCAGTTTTTTACTTATAACACCAAAATGGTGCATCGTTGCCGAATTTCTCTTCCTGCCGATTTTGTAGACGAGTTGCATCTTTCTTGCGTATTACTTTTTAAAGAAATCAACTATATACAGGGTGGCCCAACGAGAAACATACTGAGGGCTTTTAGGGTATTAAATTTAGAAATTTCGAAAAATCCTCGAAGGCGTCAATTTTGTATTCGAGGGGGCCAACTTTTGGAATACAAATCACGAACCAGTCTTCACTCCTCTACGTAGGGAGCTTAACCCCTAAAATTTTAAATTGAATCCTATGGCAAATGGCACATTATTTGAAAGCCAATTTAATCGTGAATACTAATTTGCTTTGCTTTTTAAATTCTATTGATTCGTTTCGGAGAACTGACAGGTTCACTTAAGTTTAACAAACAAATTGAAGCGTCAAAATAAAATTTTAATACAAGGTGACTTAGATCGCATTTGTTTTGGTTTAGAAAAAAACATTTCAAATGCGAATTATCTCCGAAACGAATCAATAGAATTTAAAAAGCAAAGCAAAGCGTTCAGTCGCATAATGAAATAACTAACTACCGGGTGATCCAAAAGTAGTGCGGACAGTTTGAATTTTCCGCAAAACGAAAAATTTTTAAAGTTACACTCCAAATGTCATTTATTTAAAAGCAGTGGCATAGCAATTTAATGAGTAACTACAAATTATCACAATTAATTATTTAAAGAGCATTTAAGCACTTCATCAAAATGATTGTTCAACTACCATGTTCTAGATACAGTTGCACTCCACGGTTCATGTTTTCAAATACACGGTGTAACATTGCTTTAACTTAAAAAAACGCTAAAATTTTAAGCGCCAAATTCAAACTGTCTGCAGTCATTTTGAATCACACGGTATTGCATGATACTGTGCTTCTCGGCGAAGTTTCAACACCTTGTTAATAGCTATATTGCCGGCTTAACGTATAGTAAATGTATCACGTCAATGATTACACCATATAAACGCTTTGGTTTAAATGTAATGCGTCAGTTTGCAAGCTATTTTCATCCATGTATAAATACTTTATATATCTGATTTTTCTCCTCTTTCCAAGAGGCAATTATAGCCAAATCGACTATATTTTAGGTGGAGGCTATAATATACGAAAATTTCTTTTCGTTAGTGAAGACAATACTACTATAACTTCAAGTTTTGTATCCAAGAAATGTTCGAAATATTTACAGTTGTTCACTACAGCCCTGCTGGAGAAGGAAATATGGGCACTAGAAAGTGAGTCGCTCCTTTTTATTACCTACTTCTAGCCGTATACCATTTTAAGTACTCGTATATACGATCTTTATAACCTTTTAGTGGGACCAAAAATCAGGGTCATGTTGTTAACTGAACGGTAATCCTATTAAATAAGGGATAATTAAGTAGATAGTCCAAGCAGCATGTCAATAAAATAATTAACCATCTAATCCTCCTCCTAATCTTTAAATCATAAGTGGTAGATGTAATAAGGTAAACGTTCTTATCTGCTTATACTGTAACAAGGATACCGTACACCCATGGTAAGTTTTGGAAAACTATTGCCATAGTATCAGATGCGATAGGAATGACGGAGATCAATTTAGTTTTGGTATACCACAAACTTAAGAATCAAGCAAAAAGCACAAATTATTATTGCTGCCATAATCATCAATCTTATTGAAAATTGTAGCCAAATTACACAGTTATAATTTCGTTAGTGTTGGATGCAACGTCGGGCGTACAGTCGGGGATACTCAAAGGTAACGTGATTAATTTGGGAGCATACGATGAATGCGTCAATATCAACGCGCATACGCGACTTGGAGAAGTATACGGAAAATACTGTCGGGTCGAGCTGAAGACGCAATCACCCGCGGAAAAGGTAAATAATGCGCTTAATGGATTTAACATAAGCGTACGATTAATTATTTAGAAGAGATTGGGGTTAGATGTCCTTCTGAACCGTGTGACTTTGTATACTCCCATCTCTTCTATGGCCGTGTGTGTTCCAGACGCTTGTTCTGAAAAGGACGTAGAGGGTTTGTTTCGAGCGATGAGGATGATTCCCGTAGTTAAGGAGGGGGCATGTAAGACTCAGTACACAAAACCTCCTCTTGACTACAAAGGAAAAGCTTTACTGTACGTACTGGCATAGACCATTGAATAAAAAATTAAGAAGAAGCCTAACCTTATGGAAAAAAGTGGTTCTGTTGGTAACATACGCGGGGTTTGGGAAGTAGATCCCACCACGGTATCCGATACTCCCCGAAGAATATCCCCACTTTTTAGAATGAAATAATTAATTCAGTTGCAATGTGCTGCTTATTTACGCGCTGAAGGTCTATATTTGTATAAGATGTTGTCACCGACATATGATATTGTATGCCTTCTTTATATTTAGCCATCCTTGATAATAAGGTGGGGTCAGGAACACTTATACTACTTAAGGTATCATGTTGCCGATCTCGTGAATTCCACTTATTATTTGAAATGAAAATATTAGCGTACCATGCTAACTATACAGTATAGCGGATGGGATTTCATTATGAGAAAAAAAATTGTAAAGGAAAAAATTCTATACATTTTCACGTAGAAATCAAGTGGGGTAGAAATAATTTTGATACCACTACAACTATTTTAATGGAGGCAGTATTTTATATCATGGTTGTTAAATGGAGTATTTTAGCTATTCAGCGATATAAGGCTGTTTTTAAAATATTGGACAAATGTGCCCAAAAACGAATTTTATACAGGGTGAGTTTTTGTTTCATTTGAAACATTCTGAACATTTTTGAAACCGTAAGACTTAGAGATTAGGTTAAATGAGGAAAGAGTTGTCGTTTTAAGAGCTTAATCAAGATATGCTTTTGTTTTTTGAAAAAAATTCACAGTTTACTAGACACTAGACAGTAGATATGAGCGAAAAACAAATTTTGTGATTTTTCTTTTAAATGTTGAATCGTTAGTATTAGAAATACAGAAATGTGCAAAGAACAAAAAATTGTAGATCTTTTTTCGCGTAATAAGATCTTTTTAATAATTTCCATTCTTCTTTTATTATTTTCGAGTTATAACGCAAACTTAAATTTTTTTTAAATGGCAAACATGGTTGCAATGATATAAGGTTCATTGTCCTTACTTTGACAAATAAACATGAATTTTCTTTGAGGCCTTCAACAATGAACAGCAGTATTTTGTTTTTTATTATTTTCCATGGCATGATACGATTTACTTGAATATGATTATTAATTTAACTTTAATAGTACATTTTCGAAGATGGCCTTTAAATAATTATGTTAAATGTGCCACAGTTACATTATTACCTATCTCACTCGATATTGTTTTCCATGGCAAACTCTTTTTATTTACCTCTCAATAATACAAACATTCCTGCAGTGCGTTTATTTATTAACGTACGTTTAGCAAGCATTATATCATTATAAAGAGAAAAATGTGTCCTTTTCAAAAATGTCAAAGCGAACTATGATTACCATTTAAAAAAATTAAAGTTTGTATCGTAACTCAAAAATCAATGTAGTTTAGAGCTCACTGCCAGCTATATTTCCGTCAACTTCGAATTATGCCGCTGCCATCATTATTCATATATGCTACTCTTTTAGAAATTCACAAAAAACTATCTGCATTCCCAACTAATTACACTACACACAGCTGCAACACTAGGAACGCAAAAAATCTGAGGATTCCATATACTATAGACTTTCCAAATCCAAAAATACTTAATAGCCCCCACATAGATTTGTATAATGTACTACCACTGGCTGTGAAGCAGTTAAATTTCGTTAAGTTTAAAAATTTTATAAAAAATCATTTTTTAGCTTATTGTTTCTACTCCATAAAGGAATACCTCAGTACACCTATTGTTTTTAAGTTGTGATTATAATTTGTATTTTTATTTTTAATATTGTTAGTTTTGTATGAATTTCTTTGTCTGTTTGTACTTTTTATTGTATACTACTTATTTATGCTGTAATTTGACGTGTCGCAAGCATTGAATGTGATATTACGACAAAAATATACATGATACAATCGTAAAATATAGAAGGAAAATGGTATGTTCATGATATTAAGCATTAAAATGTCTAAATCTTTTATTCGTGTCATTTTGTCGTAGTTCTAAATTCTAATTCTAACGATTCTACAACAATTAAAAGAAAAATCACTAAATTTGTTTTTGGCTCATATCTAGTAAACTGTGGATTTTTTTCAAAAAACAAAAGCATATCTTAAATAAAATCTTAAAACGACAACTCTTCCTCATTTAACCGAATTTCTATGTCTCATGGTTTCCGAAAACCCCAATGCTTAAAATGAAAAAAAAACTCACCCTGTATATAATAATCAAGCATGCCATAAAAATAAGTGAACATGAAAAACCCAACATTTGTGCTATTTTTTTAAATTACATAAACTTGAAATCGGGGCTCTGTGGCTCTGCGTCATTTATTTATCAATCAATTTCAGACATACGGTAAAACACTATAGCATCTATCAAGTGTGCGAAATCGATAAAAAAAACTTGCCACACAGGGCACAGACGCCTGATTTCAAGTGTATGTTCTATAATGCTGTGCGCGCGACCATGTACACAGACGGATGGATGGACGGACCGAGAGACGACAGAAAATCATGAAGTTGCTTTTGTCGCTCGTAATGTCAAGTGTCAATAACTGTGATTTATTCTGACAAAAGGTCTTGTTAACGTGTAACAGATGATCAACAAACCTTGAAACATTAAAATTTTATTGAGAACCGCTGACCTTTAGTTAAATGGGGGCTATTATCCCATTGTTTTAAATGTCGCAGTGGGAATTCCCGCTACTTAACGACCTAATGAGAAATCTTAAATTATTGGTGAAACGAACTATACTTACTGTTAATTTAATCGAGCAGTGCTGTGCATGGAAAGGAAAGCAACGCCTAAGTAAAACCATTGACTAAAACCACTATTTATTCAATGGTAAAACTGAAAACTCAATCAATGCCCTAATACAATAACAATATTGTCCCTCTAAAACCAGCTGCACTTTCTCCCTTCCAAAAATTAGAGGAAAACACGATCGTTCGCTAACATGTCCTTGTGGACGTATTGTCCGATAAGTAAAGCAGTGATTTGAATCATTGGTGATTTACGAGATGATTTTTAATTGAATAATCTGCATTTGTAAAGATCTAAATGGATTTATACGAGTTATCTGAAGTGATTCAGCCTAGATGCTTATGTCATTCAAGCTACCGGTTAAATGCTGATTCGGTAAAGAAAACACATCCGGAGATAAGAGTTAAAGAGTTTAAAAGACTTGCACAACGACCTGAACAGCGCGCCAATGCAGAAGTACCGCCTATAAGTAGTCGATGTGATACGAACAAATTGTGGCTGTAATAAAAAGTGGCGCCATCTATTTTTCACTGTAATTTTTTAGGGACAAATCACAGTACAGGCGTGAGGCTTCTTCTCAATTTTTTATTCTCAATCAATTTTTATTCAATGCATAGACTCTATGGTACTGATTAAATAATAATAAACTTTCAATAACGTATGATTTAGATTCTTTCTTGGCGCTTGCGTTCTTCTAACCGTAGTGTCAACGGTAATTGATTGCGTCCACCGCTATAATGGGAAAGGTACGTAAATGATTTAGTGTTGATTAGCGGCAGCGTTTCCAAGTAAGACATGAACAAATTATTGGCACTCATTTATTTACACATTAAAATGTATGGACAACTGACGAGACGTCATGACATCATTTTTACAGACAAGTACAACAACTACTAACTAACTTCACACTAAACATAATGGCTGTGTCTATATTACATGTATAATGCATTGTGATCATATTTACAACACTCTCCCTTGATCTCAATGCTCATCAATAATTAACAACAGAAGCACAAATCAACTTAGTCCTATAGCTTTGGAACAGAAAATGTGTTTTTCTTTAGGGACAGATTTAGTTAAAAAATCTGCTACCATTTGCTTAGTTGAAATGTATGAAACATTAACTAATTTTTTATCGATAAGATCTTTAATAAAATGATATCTTATATGAATGTGTTTACTTCTTTTATTTGTAACTGAATTTTTAGCTAAAGCTATAGCATATAAATTTCTACGTAATTATTAGTAGGCAATATAAAGTTAAGAATATTACAGCCTTTGCTAATTCTTCACTTAAATTGTACATAAAAGAAATTTCCCTAGCACCTTCACTTAATGAAATATACTCTGCTTCCGTTGAAGATAGAGAAACAACTTTTTGTTTTCTACTCTCCCAAGCAATTGCTGCTCCACTTAAGGCTGGGGTCTCTTGCCGTTATTATTTCTTTCATAAAGCTAACAGATGTCATTGTAGTCGTCATTATTTGCTGAAACGCTTGGACTCCGCCTTATCATTTAATACGACTACCTGCTCGAGAATCTGAGTCATATTTACATGTATCTTTAGCCGCCCACACTTTGTGAAATTAAATCCGTCTACATCCGTATATAAATGATAAGATTTTAATTGCATTTATTTCAGGTTACGTAGCTACCTTCTTATTTTTACGTTCGTTCCAGTTTTGTGAATTGATATTTTTATATAACAAAATACTTAGTGCTTTCATGACACCTTATTTTGTTTACGTATTTACGGACTTTCTTACTTAAATATTAAATTTAGCGCTGAAGCTGAACTGTAGTTTTTTATAATCACCACGTTAGTAAAAGCATTGTAAAAGTATACATATGGGGAGTTAGGTATTGCATTGGGGTAAAAAATGACCCCACACTTTTTGGGGCATCAGAAATCCGAATCAAACAAAATTCTTAGACATAAAGGAAGAGCTGGAAAGCTTTTGGGCAGAATGGCGTATGCGCAAATGTGTGAAAGTAACAAATAATTGTCAATTTTTGTATTATGACTAGACTAATTGCATTGAATGGAATAAAATTGGGTGCGTATGTTCTATAGAAAGTTTATTTTTTTGAAAAACGGAAAATTATAACTAAAAGTATGAGCAGATGCAGTATTTTTTTCTCTAAAAGAAACATATTTAGACTTTTGCTCTAAAATAATTAGGGGAGCTAGTAATTGACTATAAAGAAATTACCATTGAAATCCTTATGCTGCGTCGCGCTAGGCACCACCCGGTATATGGTTGGAAAAAAAAAACATGTATCAAACTATGAGCATTGAATTTATAAGTTATAAATTCAATGCTATGAGTAAAAATCCAATACGGCATCCATTTACAATGATGAAGTTGATGACAATATCTCGAAAACCGCCATTTTGAAAAATTTTTTCTGCGTGCATTGAATTTATCCCATCGAATCTTGCAACTTTTACTCTTTGTTACTAAAATATCTGAACTTTTTAAAAAATAACGATTTTCACTTTTTTTCAAAATATCGCATCGAAATATCCCTCCGCATCAAAAACTACACAATTTTGCCAATTTAACTGAATCTGTAAGTATGGGTAATAATAACAAAGATAGATATTATCTTACTCAATTTTAGACACCCTATATAGAACTACTTTAGGTAAAAAATTAGTTTGTGTAAATAAGAGTATTAGTACCTAAAAAAGCGATCATTAGATATATATTCATAAATTACAAGATCGTATAATGTTAGAGGTTCCTATACCGATAGCAGGTACCTATCTACCTATGCACCAATAATAAATAGGTTTTTACATTAACTTTGAGATAAACTAAATATGGTAATAAAAATATCCAACAGTTTTATTCGCAAATACGTGGAGATCAAAAATGATTAACCGTAAAGAATCGATTTTAAAGAATTCTACATGGTGCAGTATGTACGGCAACGACAAAATTATAATGGTCCTTCGATGCTTAAAATGATAACCATACCTTTCTAATTACAATAAAATATCGATTGTTGAAAACCTCATCTAGAACAGAATTGTTTCCGTTCTCGATTTATCGTATAATCTAGACCAGGTTAGGTACATAGAACGACATAAGAATTTGATTTTATGATTTCTTTGGAAACTTTTTGGTAATTTGTAATTTTTTCATATTTGCGACCGTTGTCGAGATAAAAAATAAAAATACAATTTTCGGTAGGCACCTACTTAGCCAAATGAATGTATAATTTTTAAAATGACCTTAGCTTTATTTGGATAATCTCTTGATTTTATTTAGAGTCTTGACAGTTCGCATTTGAAATTGTATCTTGTGTTATATACAAATTACAGGTTTAATTTATAAAGTGTACGGTGAAGTGAAACCTGAATTAGATTTTCGATCTGTAGGGTCATTACCCCAATCTGAATCGACAAAAGCATGAAGTGCTTTGTGTGTCTTTTTATATAATAAACCTACATCTGCAGTTCCTTTAAGATACCGCAGAACTCGTTTTGCTGCTAACCAGTGTGAATTATCATTTGATGTATTAAATTGGCTAAGATACGATGCTGCATATGCAATATCAGGTCTACAGGTAGTAGGTACTTAAATACATTAGGCAACCTATTAATTCTTGATAAAATTTTATATTATTATCATCCTTAGTAGGCTTTTCCAATTTGACATTTAAATCTAAAGGAGTACTAACCGAATTAGCATCAGACATACCAAATTTATCTAAAATGTTTAAAATATATTTCTTATTACTTAACTTAATTGTTTGTTTCTGTCTATCGCGTTCTATACTTAGCCCTAAAACGTTAGTTGCGGGACCTAAATCCTTAAGCTTAAATTTCGACTTTAATGCATCTTTCAGTTTAACACATTCATTGATATTATTATAAAAAATAAAATAATCATCAACATACAGTGCTATGATAACTAATGAATTTTCCTTAGCTTTATAAAAAATGCAAGGTTCATAATTGCTTTGGTTAAAATTTTGACTAAGTATCACGTTTTTGGTTTTTGCATACCAAGTGCGAGAGGACTGTTTCAGCCCATAAATAGCTTTGTTAAGTTTACAAACTTTGTTTTCTTGTCCAGGTTTTACGAAACCTTCTGGCTGTGTCATATAAATTGTTTCTTGTAAATTGCAATGTACAAAGGCAGATTCTACATCTAAGTGGTCAATTTCTAAATCTAAATCTGTAGCAATGGCAAAAAGTAATCTCAAAGAACTATGTCTAATAACAGGAGAAAAAGTCTCACAGCACAGCGTCGAGCTTTGTACCTGGCTACATTGCCGTCAGGGTCATTTTTAATTTTGTAAATCCATTTACATGTTATTACATTACAATTATCAGGCGTGCGGACTAGGGACCAAGTATGATTTTGAATAAGACTGTTATACTTCCTTTGCATAGCCTCGACCCATTTTAATTTATCTACAGATAACATAGCATCTGAATAATTAAATGGTTCTCTTTCACTACATAAATAAGTTACAAAGTCCGGAAAAAGTTTTTGCTTACGTACCCGTTGAGGACGATCTTCGCGCGGGATGATTGGATCCTTGGTTTGTACAATACGGGTGACGGTTTCGGGTTCTTCCATGGAATTTGTCCCTTCAGAGATGATGTTACCGGATTCCTATTGAGAAGTGGACGAAAAACTGTCATTGGAGTCGGTCGAATCTTCGTGGGAATCAGATGGGATTTTATCATCACCTTCGGAATTTATTTGTGAAACCAAGGAGGAATTCATGTCACGATGTTCCAGATGAGGGTTTTCATTTGAATTATCTTGTTGGATTACCAATGGATTGATTTTAGAATGTGTGCGACCTGTAGGCGAATCCTCAGACGATGATTGAAACCTAAAGGTCTAAGAACTTCATGTTCAAGAAATTCTACACTGCACGCTGTGGTAATTTTATTGTTAGTTGTGTCAAACAATCTATATGCCGTAGGATTGTCACTGTAACCCACGAAAACGTACACTTTACTTTTTGGATCCAACTTTTTTCGTTTTTCTGACGGAATATGTGCATAAGCAGGACACCCGAAAATTTTTAAATTGGACAAATCTACTTTCTTACCAGTCCATCTCTCTTCAGGAGTTTGATTTGGAATCTTCTTGGTTGGAGATCTGTTTATCAGGTATACAGCAGTATTTGCAGCTTCTGCCCACATGCGTTGATCACAATTCACGTCTTCCATCATTGAACGTACCTTATCAACAATGGTGCGATTGTATCGCTCGGCCACCCCATTTTGTTCTTGATTATAGGCAACTATCAATTGATGCTTGATACCGCTCTTCTTTAAAAGATTTATAAACGAACGATTGCAGTATTCGCTGCCGTTGTCAGACCGAATAGATTTAATTTTACGATCACATTCGTTCTCTACCATGGCTTTGAACTCTGCGAACACGGAAGTAACTTCGTCTTTTGATTTAAGGAAATAAATGAAGACTTTGCGACTGTAATCATCTATAAGAGTGAACATATATCGGGCTCCACCCCATGATTCTACCGGCATGTAGCACAGATCAGTATGCAATAGATCAAGTCGATTATCAGCTAGTTTGCGCTTACTTGATTTAAAAACTTTTCTACACATTTTTCCTTTAAGACAAGAAGTACACTTTTTAAATTGTGCGTTCGAATAGTCAATACCGGTTGCATAACCACCATTTAACAAATTCATACTGACCGCATTCAAAATGTCCCAGGCGTCTGTGCCACAATTCCATGTCGTTTTCACCATGAGTAAGGTAAACCGCTTCATTTTTCATTGTGTTAAGAACATAAAGGCCGCAGGTGTTAGACGCTGTTGCTGAGATTTCTCCCTGAACGGTCCAGTCCCTTTTGTCGACGATATGGCAACCTTCATTGTTAAAAATTATACTAAAACCCTTGCGGACAAGTTCGCTCACTGAGAGTAAATTAACAGACAAATTTTTCACGTACATAATGTCAGTTATTGTCCTTTCACTTCCGTCGTCGAGTTTAACTGTTGTTGCGCCGGTACCTTGGCAGATTAATTTTTCGTTGTTGGCAAGATATACTTCTCGTCCACTATTTTTGGCACTAAAATTGATTAATAGCTCCCGGTTTCCAGTCTTATGACAAGAACTACCGCTGTCAATGTACCAAACTACTTACACCACATAAAGCGCGATGGTGTGGCTTGAAAACAGGTTTCACATTTGTGACTTCGTATGAAGCATTTGTAGATTTAGCTGTTGTGGAAGTCTGCTTGGCGGCTAGTTTCTTGCAGTCCGATTTCCAGTGATTGGGCTTTTACAATAGGAGCACCAAGGTTTCTTGATGGAAAGCAATGCTCGATCCATATTTAGGTGGTTACTGGATGAGCTTCCATATTTATCATCTTGGAGCAATTTCTGCTTGATAAGGTCACTGGTAATAGTTGCTCCTGAATTTTCAAGAGCCATAACCATTGGGTCGTACTCCTCGGGTAACCCAGAAAGAATAATCACAGCTAAAAATTCATCATCAAGGGGTTTTCCCATATCTGATAGTTGTCGAGATAGACTTAGAGTGTCATTTACGTATTCCTCCATTGACTTAAAGAGGGTTAATTTGATATTACACAGTCTCCTCAAGATTTTTAATCTAGAATTTAGACCTTGATCAGAGTAAGCCTTTTTTAAAGAATTCCATGCATCCTTCGCTGTTTTAGCAGAAGTTATTAATGGAAACACTGATCTGTCAACGCTTAGACTAATTTTAGCTAAGGCTTTTTCGTCTTTTCTAGCTTTAACTTCTACAGATGTCGAATCATTGGCAGCGTAACCTTCGATAGCATGCCATAAGTTGTCAAGTTTGAGGATACTTTTCATTTGAAATTTCCAGTCCTGATAATTTTCTCTGCCTTTAAGCCTTTGGTAAGGTAGAATTGGCAAATGTGTCTGCTCTTCACTCATTTTATAGCGAGTTAAAGAAAATGGCGACTACAACAAAAAATTTCAGATATGGATCTTTTACTCAGATTTATTCAAGTATTTGTCCCGGTCCTGGTGTTGGCTCTGGGCCCATAACCTGTTGATTAGCGGCAGCGTTTCCAAGTAAGACATGAACAAAGTATTTGGCACTCATTTATTTACACATTAAAATGTATGGACAACTGACGAGACGTCATGACATCATTTTTACAGACAAGTACAACAACTACTAACTTCACACTAAACATAATGGCTGTGTCTATATTACATGTATAATGCATTGTGATCATATTTACAACATTTAGGTAAAGAATTGATCTATCCACGCATGTTTTTCAGCTTCGTCCCACTTCGTAGTAATGGCGTTCTCCACTTTGAATAATGCAAAGAAAATTTTTCAAGTAAGGTATGGTGGCAATGAAGTTTATTGTTTGGACGGTATTAAAGCAATAAGTACGGCAATGATTATATGGGGGCATGTCTACTATTACAATTGTCGATATCCTATAAGCAATGCCCTTCAACTCCCTAAGGTTAGATCGATGGAAGATAATGATAGATCTTTTTTTTATAATATGATTTTAGGAAATGGAAGGGCTTAGTGGAACACTTTCTTATTTCGCATCGTCAACTGTAGAAACATTTTTGTTTATATCCGGTGCGTTTGTATCGTATGGTGTTATTTCAGACGCAAGGAAAGGTTTAAAATTCAATATTCGCACTTTCTACTTGAACAGAATATTACGGTTTGATTCTATGTGACAAGGAGACGTCGAATTGATTGCGTCGAGTTTTAGGTTAACACCGTGTTTAGCCATAACTGTGCTAATCTACACTTTTCTCTTTGAGCAAGTGGTATACGGTCCTACTATTGATTTATGGTGTGATATGGAAATTATGCGATGTAGACAATACTGGTGGTCTACCCTCCTTTATATACAGAACTATTGGAATATTCTGAGTATGGTAAGTACTGTGTTTCTAAAGAAGCAACACTTTGATTTGAAACTAAATATGATTTTGTAACGAGAGTATCTTGAGTTAAATTTTTTTTCCATTGAAATATACGGAAGAACAATTTCCAAGTTTAAATGAAATCAAGGTTTCAGTAACATTCAACCAAACAAACATTGTCGAGAGTTGGTGTTATTTTACAAGCCAAAACGAGGTCATATTAGGTTACATATCCTGCGCTGCGAATTAAGCATCCTTTCAAAAACGACAAGTAAAATCTGCCGTTTCACCTGAAAGTTGGCGAACCAATGAAAATTAACAAATCTTCGCCATTAGTATTCCACCATTCAATAGGCGTTTTAAATTGGCCCAGTATAGAGAGAGGGAATTATTTTGCACGAAATTAGAGTCTCGTTTTGGCATCCGGAGAGTTAAGAGTCAGTATTTTAACTATTTAAATTTATAACGTGTAGAAAATTAGTAATTAGACGAGTCAATCGATGTAACTAAGTACCGTTAATATTTTTATATTTTTTATCAATGTAGGTACCGCAAATTGTTATTCCGGTGCTATCATTTTTGCTGGACAGTACACAGTCAAAAAACCCTCATTTGTAGTCAAGTTTTAGAGAAGGAAGGAGGTCTCTTAAGTAATGATGGAAAGTAAAAGAGGTAAAGTTAATAGGCAACCGTTGAGTTAGACGCAGGCATTTTTAAAATAATAACATTAAATAAAAACAAGAGAAAATTGTCAATCAATTTATTTACAATCGCACTTCCGGTGCAAAATGGAGCCCAACAGAGGGGCAAATCGACCCGGAATTGAGGGGCATGTACCGAAAAATTAAAACGGTGCGTATTTTATTACGCTTTCAGTTGTAGATAACGTAGCATATAAGGGAATTTGTTTACCAAGCATGAAACTAGTATCTAGGAAAAAAGTTTACCATAGGCGTCACAACGGGGCGGTGAGCGATTTTATTTCGCGATTTTTAACAGGTTTTCAATTAAATGTAAATTAAAAATTATGTATCGGTTGGTAGAGTTGGCGCTGCGTTTCCTCAAACCTGCCGCACAAACGGCCAACTAGTTGAGGGTTAAACAAGAGTTAAACAAGTTCGTTCTGGACATATTTTGATCTTCGCCCTTCGTAGCAAGATAGATAATAACAGTAAAAATCAATTTAGGTACCATAAGAAATACTGGTTAATTCAGACAAATGGGAAAATAAAAATTCTCTGCACAATGGGAGAGCTTAACACACAAATATTCAAAATACTCCCCCAAATACTCAAAATTATAACATTATACGTTACACAAAAATCTTAGTAACTTCCATAATATGTACGATTGAAATCCCCCATAACCTCCAATCAAGAATGATCGATTAAATTGATTACTGAATCTTAAAACAAGTTTCTACAAATAAATTGATATTCCGTACAAAAATTCGCACGTATACGGCCAAGTACAAGTAAAACATATAACGCCACTCTTACTTTGTCAGTAATACGTCGGTGCCAAGAAGTGAGTTCAGTTATCGCACCCAAAACCTGCAAATAATCAAAAGAAAACCTCCCAAGCCGCAGAGCTCGGTATATAAATAATTGACTAATGCCTGAAGGGCCTCGCTCTAGTAATATGCTTCTATAAGAAGTACGGTATTTAATCGGCCAACCTCTCCAGAAGAAAGTGGTGGACAACATTCACGTTTCAAAGTCGATCATCGAGATGGCCAAAGGTACTAATTTTGACAAATTACTTGAATGCGATAGAATTAACCCAGAAGGGGCAAAATAGTTATTAACTAAAATTTGATGATTGATTGGGAAATACCGGCTGGCTCCGGATGCTAACTCTTCTGTTGGCCAATATAATTTTGGTGGCGAAATTAGCAGTCAATTTCAATGAGCTGTTACTGAAATTTGATTTTACTTTTAGGAAAAAACTTACACGGATTTTAGCGGCACGAATAATGAACAGGAATATTATCTGGGTTTACTAACAGTTTTCTTTGTTGTAATTTCGGGTTGCCCATAAAATAAATCCAACTCCCTTTTACTTTATTGCACAAAATCCCGAAACAATTTAGACGCTATGACGAGGATGACTAAAAGACTTTGCCGGACTGCAATCGACAAAATAAACACTTGAACTTGACAGTTCCTGAGACGTTGACTCTTTTTAAACTTAGAAATTGTTCATAAATCGCAAAAAATTTAACGCAGAGTAATCGCTTTCGTTACAACTTATAATGTTTTTTTTAGTGTTTCAGCAACGGTTGGTACCTCGCTGTGGACATGCAACTGTACGTACTATCGCCAATACTGATTGTAGCGCTGCTGAAATCTCCTAGATTATCTGTAATTCTGGCCAGTTTTTTTGCATTCTGCTGCCTAGTAGCAAGTTTTACTATCACTTGGATTCTAGAAATGGAGATGTTGTCGTAAGTTCTGCAGAAAAGTTATCGATTATATAAACTTCGCTAATTCCAGCCTTTCGTATCTGAGGGACTATTTTGCATTGACACACACAAGGGGTGCTCCATGGTTCATTGGTTTTATTGTGGGATACCTTTTGTCGATAGGTTTGGATGGGAAAGGGAAGGTTTTGAGTAAGGTAAGTATCTATCTGTCAGCAATATTAGCTAAACCTTTGTGAATCTTAGAGAACTATTGCTATATGTTGGTCGGCGTGGTTTTTCGCAATAATTGTTCAAATAGTTAGTATGTTTTACATATCGACCGTACTGGGTGTCTGCTTTGAAAACACCTTTAGAAAACTTGCATGGGTTTATGTTCTTGCATGGACTGCATATTCCTGCCATTTCGGATATGGAGGTAATCTCTTAGTTACTTTTAAGTATCCTTTTAACAGTGATAATATACCGGAAACATCACTTGTAATAACGCCTTACCTACTATTATAGGGCATCTCAACACATTCCTATCTTTGCCGATATTTCAAATTTTCTCAAGGCTGGCATACAGTAGCTACTTGATGCACGGTTTCCTCATACTCACGCTGAAGGGAAGCATGCGTTCGGCAATACACTTTACTCATTTTGAACTGGTATGCATCTGGCAAAGTGGCGTAACTATTTTGACAGGTTATTTTCCAGATTGTGCAAACGTGCGGATTTTGGTTGCTAGCACAGTTTGTCGCTCTTCTTTTTAATTTAACGATCGAGTCACCGATTACAATATTATTGACAAGGTCAGTGAAAAAGAAGAAGGAATAAAAAAAGACATTTGCCTATTTCCTTGGTGGTGGGAATTTTACTGTGTGAAATATCTGTTCTATTATCGTTATTGTAATAAAGTTTGCCCCCCTTATGACGTGTCTTGGTGTTTTTTTCTTTAACCGGTGGTTTTCGATAAATTCGTGGTGGGAAGTCTCCAAATGAACACTCTGTATAAGAAAGTAAACATTTTAAATATGAATTTAGGTAATGTTACACAAATGTTGCACTTATATGAACGGATACTGTTTTGCAACAGATTATTTATATTATGATTGATTGGTACATGTGTCGCCTTCCACGACATTGTCATCAAAAAAGGTTTTATACACAAGATTTGAGGTTCTTTAATATCTACTAGGCAGTAATAAGTTTAATTATACAGGGATGGTCATAAAGGCGTGGTACACCAATATTGTATTTCATGGAACATCCTGTATGTTATTCGGAGTTAATATCAAATAAATCCATTCCGATGCAATAGAAGTAGTAGAAGTATTATTATTATTAGGTCAAACCGAGACGTTTTCTCAAGGAATTGCTCATTCCTCTTTCTTGTAAGATGTCCAAGGAGTTGCGGTTAAAACAAAAACTCAGCTAATAAATCGGGGGTTAGTTGAGCTTATTGAGCCAAGTGACTTATTAGTAACGCAACGGAACAATTATGGCATTATGCATAACTTGTAGGAAGTCGGCTTGAATTTGGACAACAAACTGAATAAAAGTTTATCATCCAGCACGTGAAACAGCAGCGCAGAATCTCTGTCTACCCTCTTTCATCCGTCATCCTTAGCTTGCTAACTGTGTGAAACTGAACAAATCTAGTGCTCAACAAGGATTCGCCGCTTTCGCAGCTTTCGGTAATGACGAAAAAGTTCGGGATAACTTTCGCGATATCTGCTGAAAAGTTTTGAAAGGTGTATTAAAGACATTCATCAAAACGGAAATCCCCTATACTACCCTTTCCGGATTAATCACTGAATATTTAATTGTTTTTGTACATTAATTATAATCGTCGCCGTGGATAAAGTTTGTGTACCCACGTAACTCTTTCAGAGCGTTTTTCCTCCCCTTAACTGTAGTAGTTGTCATCGTTTAAGAAGGTAAGTTTACTTAGATTTTTAACTGGACTGCATTAGACATAGCAATACACATTGGGAGTGCAATAAGAAAAACAGTTGAAGCAATTATTGTAATGCTTCATGCTACCTCGCTCCCATGGAGCCCTAATCCAATCTCCTATCAAGAGAGTGGTGAACTATTCAGATGGTGACCTACATATTATATTCAAAAGAACAAAAATATTCCTTAATTATAATAACAAAGGGAGGTTATGAAATATCTTCCCTTGATTGATGGTGTCGTTCATTACAGTATGGACAGATAACCCATTCTTATCCCTTCTGTTTTTAAGTGAACATGACCGGAATAAAACTAATTTCTACTTTTGGGTTAAAATAAAAGGACGATTTCGTGGTGACAAGGTTAAGGGAGACTTATTTTCAAGTCCTATCACTCACTTGAGGAGAACCAAGGTGTAAAAGGAACTCACGTGTGGCCTGTGGCCGAAAGAGCGCTAACGTTTAATCTACAAATGGTTACGTGATTAATAGATTTCCGGTTCTGGGAGCAGAAATGCAAATTTTCTTTTCAATCATCTATAAAAGGGTACGCGCATTGTTCCACGCCTTCCACTTTCCTATCTCATATCAGAAACTAAATGATTTGGAAAATATTGCAGCGCCAGAGTAATTACTTTATAATGTATATGTACGACTAAGGGCCCGTCCATTCAAATCTTAACGATTACGATATAACTTGAAATAAGTGCCCGCAAGTTAGATTGCAGTCACGTGCATTTGGAAAAGAGGCAGTTCCAATTTCAACTCCGAAGTAATAAATAGTTCGCGCTGTTGTAAATTGTGTATCATCTTAAGGCTGTTATAAATTTATTGCTAATTAATTGTAAATAAATGAACCACGTAATTAAATTTACAGTATGTTAAACGTCTTGTGGACTTTACGAACCTTGGTCAAAATTATGCAAATTTAAAGAAATGGGCCAATTTAATCTTCTCCTAAATTCATGAAACACAACCTCTTGACAACCGCTTTCCGGTACATTTTGGCTTGACAAATCAAAAAAGGGTAGAAACCGAAAGGACTCAGTTACCAAAATTCGCTTATTATTCCTATTGACCTTAGCAATCTCTAAAATCTTAAGGATTTTAGACCTAACACAACTGTAAATTTGCATTTAAATTTCTTTTGAAGTTTTTCGGAATGTAGATGGTTGATTTTCCAGGGGTGTTGCGTGTAGTGAAATTTTCAACCGTGTTGGAAATTGAGTTTGTTCTAGCCTCGTTCAAGTTCAAGAGAGCTTTGTTTTTTATGGGACCCGAATACCGGAGCGACACAATAGCCAGAATTTATAGCTCATATTCAGTCGTTTTAATTAGAGGTATTTGGTTACAAGTGCGAAATCAACATGAAGCATAAATCATAAAAAGATAAATCAACTGAATTTTAGTGAGAAGGAACAGCCTCTCTTCTGTGCGTGAACAATGATTCCAATTGGCGCAATAGAATGTCATTGTTGAACTTTGATATTTTGAGGGATTTGGAAGAGATTTGTATTTGGAAAGCCAAAATAGTGCGGGACACTTCATAAAATGTGAATCAAATTCTATTTTTTGACAACCGTCACGACCAGTATTTGTGTTTGGAACGTAAAATATAACAACGAGAGTTCCGGTAGTTATCGTTAAAAAAGAAAAAAGTTCGAAGTAAATACATGAAGCAAAAATACAGATTATCCCAAAAGGTTGTTATAGACAGTTAACGTCGCCTAAGAATTTGTAACGTTAGACGTTTCTCCATAAGAACCGATGTTAAATTGGATGATTTTCAAATGGATACATCTTGAAAACTAATCCAGTGATAGTATCACTTAACTTCACCGTCCCATAGAGCACACTTTCAACTTTCATTTCATTTAAGTTTGATTACAAAATGACGGGAAATAGAAATCATATTACTTTATTTAAGCAATTCAAATCGCCCTTTATTACACACGTGCGCGCTTAGGCAGTCACACCGTTTGGAAGTTGGAAATGATAAGAATATCTCTATTTCATCACTTGATCCTCTCATTTGTGGCATAAAGGTAGGTTATCTTAATCTCGTCCTCATTACGAGCGTTGCTATATAGTCACGTAATTGCGATCATTAACTGAATTATTTACACGTATGTTATTACTTTACTCATTATATTAATGAGATACAGGATGAATGTAATTCATGAAATACTGTCACCTTTTTCTAGGGTGTTCGTCAATTTTTGTTTATTATTAGTTTTCAATTGTAGCTTTGATCTCAACGGGCGAAAAGGGTTAAGAAGTACTCGTTTGGACGTATAAAAAACATAGCTTGGAGAATAAACATAGTTATGAACAGAGCTGGGCAGTATTCGATTTTGTAAATAGTTTTTAGTATTCAAATCCTTTAAAGTATTCAAATACTTTGTAATTAAATACTTTTATGGAAGCAGTATTTGTATTTGTAACTCAAATACTTTCACAAATATTTAGTATTCGAATACTTCGCAAAGTATTTGAATACTTTGAGAAGTATTCGAATACTTCGCATAGAATCCAAAACAATTCGTTCTTTTTCGATCAGACTTCTAAATAAAAAGTTATAGACTAGAAACCAATGTCGAAAAAAAATTCAAAGGGCTGTAATTTTTGAACTAGTAGCCCAATCTTGGAACTGTTTGAAATTATGGATTCTACAGGCTACATTCTATAAGAAAAATATTTTTCTGGGTCGATCTGAGACAATTTTTTTTTCGTGCCTCAAGAAAAGGTAGTGTGTAACCTTCCTTTTTTTACTAAAAATCGACTGCACCAAAATTTCTCGGGAAAACACTTTTTCTTATTAATTTTGGTGCGTAGAATCCAAAACAATTCGTACTTTTTCAATCAGACTTCTCAATCAAAAGTTATGGACTAGAAACCAATGTCGAAAAAAAATTCAAAGGGTTGTAACTTTTGAACTAGTAGTCCAATCTTGGAACTGTTTGAAATTATGGATTCTACAGGCCACATTCTATAAGAAATTTTTTTTCCGGGTCGATCTGAGACAATTTTTTTTGAGGGCTCAAAAAAAGGCAGTGTATCACCTTCCTTTTTTATCAAAAATCGACTGCACCAACATTTCTCGGGAAAACACTTTTTCTTATTAATTTAGGTGCGTAGAATCCAAAACAATTCGTTCTTTTTCGAGTAGACCTCTCAATATAAAGTTATGGACAAAAAACGAATTTCAAAAAAAAATTCAAAGGGCTGTAACTTCTAGTAGCCCAATCTTCAAACTGTTTTAGATCATGGATTCTACGGGCCAAATTCTATAAGAAAATGTTTTTTCCCGGTCGATCTCAGACATTTTTTTTCCGGCCTCAAAAAAAGGCAGTACTTTTAAGTTATTCAAATATTTGAGAACAATTTAGAAATGTTTAGGGAAAGTTTCCATTGTCACAAAATCAAATATAAAAATCCGATACCACTTAATACCGAACGATCCTGGAGTGAAACTTTTTGACTCGATAGTCCACGTAACTTAAAAACAATAGGGACCTTTCTTATATCCTTAAGACCATTGTGTACCAATTTTCAAAGCGATCGCACGTTTCTAAACAAAGTATCATGCACACGGACAAACGGATGGTCAAAAATGGATCTGTTCCAAAATCGCTAGGATTAATTTCAGAAAGGCGTACGTATCGTGTGCACGACGTACGATCGCTTTGAAAACTGGTACACGTATTCTTAAGGATATAACTGGTATAAGAAAGGTCCTGGTAGGTACCTCCTATATAATAATATAATAATAATATTACGCTTTTACTCCCCTTAAATTTGTATATAACAATAGAAATATAAAAAAAGGTAACCCCATACAAAGTATAACTTGATTTTTTAAGTAGTATTAAGACTTTTATCTAGTATACTATTTTAAATTTTTAATGTATTTGAGTGACAAGTATTTGAATACTTTTTACTGTATTCGAATACTTTTCAAAGT